TTCCTATTGATTATTTAGATATCCACCTTCATGAAGTAGCTGTTCAGATCTGTTGCCCATTTTCTATAGGGTTCCCTTCTTTTTAAAAAAATAAATTTCTAAGTATTTCTTACATATTTTGGGAGAGCCCTTGTCAGATAAAGTCATTGTATTTGTTTTCTACCTCTCTGTGTATTGTCTTGTCATATTGTTAATGATGTCTTTTGATGAACAGAAATTCTTAGTTTTAACATATTCCAGTTTTTTCTTCTTTTTCTTCTTTCAGCCTGTTACTGATATGCTAAAGTATAGCCATGGGAAGAAGAAAAGAATGTCAAAGAGCCTTATGTTTGAGTAATTTTTATTTCTGCTTCTTTTTCTTGTGTAATAAATGTGTTCCCCCATTATCAAAGTATAGTACAGTACAGTTAAGGTCACGTTTCTCTTTAATGCAATCATATGATTTATTTCAATTATGTTCTTCTCACCTTAAGGTGTCTTTTCATGATTATCCTAAGAAGCTCCTAGTGGATTTTTCCAGCTCCAGTGGGTAAACCTTAGTAGCTGTTGACTGAAGTCATTACTCAGATGGGATCTCTTGAGGCTAGAGAGTACAACTAATGCCACCAACAGGTTATTTCTTTAAAATAGGCCTCATCATGGCCAAGCCAGAGAGCTTCAGTGGCAGTGGACATCCGAGAAGTTGTTCGGGTTCACTGTTCCCTGCTGCTGCTACCACTGGGACATGTTTTCACCATGAGCTTGATTCAGAGAACATTGACTGAATTTTCTGTCTATGTCACCGTTGCTCACTCCCAATACCTCTTTCAACCATAGTAGTTCTTGAAACGAGAGAGAACGGTCTTCCTCCACCCAGTCCTTCCAGTGCTTTGCTCAATAAAGAATATTCCATGCAAAATTAGAGCTGTGCTTCCAATGTCACAGCCTTCTACGTTAATTAACGCCACTATTTCTGCAAGGCTAAATCTTCCCTGGGTGGTGCAAATGGTTAACATGCTTGGCT